TGGGAGAAGACTTTATGAAGAAATCCCACCTGGACCACAGCTAGAGACTTCCTGCGTGGTTGTCCATCCTCAGTTATTTGGCGGTAGGGGACTGAAGCAGGATGGCCTGTGGTCAGAGAGCCAGTGGGGACACATTGGCAAGGCGAGGAGCCATGTGCTCTGGGGCAGAAAGTGGCGTAGTGTCACCTTCAGCCTTGCTTCCCCAGCTTAATAAAAAGTGGGAGGGAAATAACTTTATTCTCCTTTGGTCTTCACCTCATTCTATCTTCTAATAAAATGAAGAGTCCAAGATCTTTATGTTATTTTCAGTTCTGGAGATCAAAGTGTATTGAGAAGGATTTTTTTTTTTTCCTTGACAACTATCACAACTTCTAAAATAAAGAAGTATTTTAGATATCTGCAGGACTCAGAAAACTGCATGGTCCACCTGAGCTGCCCAGACCACACTCTTGCTTTGGGAAGGGAGGCAGGACCAACAGCTTATGCCCTGGCAGTGCCCTCTTCTCCAGTCCCAGCCTGGCATTTCACCCTCCTCCTCACTTTTCCAACAAGGTCCAGCTGTGGGGCTGGATGCTTCAGCCCAATGCTTCACCCCTTCCCTCTTGTTTGTGTTCTACCTGCAAGCTCAACCTCTAACCTTTACTGATTTTCATCTCATCAAGCATCCAAAGCTACTGGTAATAATACTGGGCTGATGCTTGGGCATGACACTGGGTAGGAAATGATGGTCCTGAGCAGTCTGAAGATTTCAAAACAGTTCCCATTCTGCATTTGCACAAACCTCCTGGAATTTTTTGGAAACTGAGATCAGTGCACCCTGGGGTAACATGGAGCCTAGTGGTTAATGTGTGTTCTTGGGAAATAAGGCACAGTGTGTGAAATCCCTGCGCCGACGTGGGCACCTGAACCTCCCATGTTCCCGCATGCCTGAATCACCACGAGTCTCCCCTTCCAATCCAGCCTTGCTAAAACTGGCCCAGTCTTGCAGGAGGTGCTGATTTTGATGAATCAACATTTTCCAGTGAAAAACGTGGCATTTGCAATTTCCCAACCCATTCTAATTGAGAGCATTCAGAAAAAGCAAACAAACAAACAAGCAAACCAAACAGCGGCAGGCGACCGGCTGTGCCACTCCGAAGAGCTCTCTTTGCTGGAGTGCTCCTCTTCTCGGGTCATGGGTTTGAAGCTGATCATTTTGCCAAATCGGGGAAACAATTTATGATTTAGCAGAACCAATTGCCAGAGAGGTGATATTTCCAGCTTCCTGCCTCTAGTTTTGATGTGCTCGGTGTCCCATCATGGTCCCTCAACTGCTTCGTAGGTTCTTTACAAGCATAGATGATTGGCCTAATTCTAGATGTTTCCTTTAGAAGAAGAATGATCACACCCATAAGCTCTGAAAGGAGCGTTGGTCACCAGCTGAGACCATGCTGTCTGTGCCAGAGACACCTAACAACACGAGGGTCCTACCTTAGCCTATGTGCTCAGTTATATTTCCATGCTGCGCTCTTGCGATCGGCACTGCCTCCGGTAACGATAGTCCTCTTCTTCCCCTCATTTCCCCATGGAAACAACTGGGTTTCAAGCCGGCACTGATGTAATGGTCTGGGAAGTTTTCCTGGGTATTTCTGTCCAGAAGGCAGGAATGCCTGTGGATTAGCTTGTCCTGCAGCAGACTCAATATTTGCAGAGCACTAGGGCAGGAGTTTCATCCTGCTGCACAGTGGCTGGCTGGTCACATTACTGCCGAACGCTTGGATGTTATGAGGAAGCTTTCTGAAATGCAAATGCGTCTCTGATTTCACTCAGGGAGCCTTTAGTCTCTTCCAGTCCGTGCCCATCCTTTGTCAGCCAGAGGTATGTGGAAAAGCCCTGTGTACATTTTGGCTGAAGCTATGGGAGAAGTGGAGTGGACTCCAGGCGCCTTGGATGCACCTCTGCCAAGCGATAAGTGTGGATGATCTCTTCCTGGGGCAAAGTCTGAGGAGACTGCTGTGATTTCAGGAGCAGTGGCCAAGAATACTTGGCCTTGCATTTTGCTCAATGTTGTTTGCTTGCTTGTCCTCCCCTCTATCCCACCAGAACTCTGTCTTTTGCTTTAGCACAGTTTTTTGATAACTTCTTAAACCCTAAAATAGCCTGTACCCCTTACCCTCTATTCCCTCCTCTCTCCTCCCTTTCCAAGCAGCAGAGGAAAGCAAGATTACAGGAAAACGTTACAGTGACTCATGTATCCCATTCCTAGAAAAGCCAGACAAGTGTTTCATCGACAGTTAAGGGCAATCCTGACTTTTGCTGAGCAAATTGCATATGTACTCACTTTCCACAGAGGCTTAGGAAACTTGGCCTATAAATATCTTTTCCCTGGCCCCCAGCTGAATGGAGACCACCAGCCTATTTCAACCTAGACACTGCTCACTCACAGTCAGAAGTGGCCAAAGATTATCAATCCCTCCAAGCTGGATAGCCACCCAGGCAAAGGGGGATCGTATAGGAAGATACCAATTTGTGGAAATAAGTTGTTCAGAAAATATTTAGGGTTTGGTGATTCTGGACGAAACTGTAAGAAGGGTGCTTCTGGTCACCCACCTGGCTTCTAATGCCAGCTTAGGATCTCGAGGGAGATCCCCCAGTTCTAGAGGTTTGAGTTTCCTGCATAAAGAGAGGACAATCTGAAAGTTCCAGCAGTCCTCACTCCAGTGACAGTCTCAATCAAATGGTAATGGTAGTTCCTCTAAAAGCAGACTCTTTACAAAACAAAGGAAAACCAAACAAAGGAAAATTCTTTCTTAGACCCTTAGAAAATTTCCAACTTTGTTATCTTCATTGAGTTCAATTCTTGACCTTGTCACACAGTTCTTTTGCATCACTGAAGGGTGTTGGGTTTTGTATGCAGAACAGTGAAACTACTAGACCCTTATTTCTGTCATATATTCACCTGGCATCTAACAACTGTGGATCTGGCTCCAAGATACCATTTAAAAATACAAAGAATTAATAGAAAGGAAGACCCTCCTCTCGTTTTAGCTGGACAAGCACACATATGGCAAGAGTAGCATGGCTATCCACAAGAAATGTCCCTTCTACCTCCAGTGGCTGGCAGAAGGGACCCAAGGAAAATATTGGTGCTCTTGAGAATTTGCAGAAGTGCTAGCTCTGGGGACGCTCTCCTGTAAAAGTCACCATACTATTCCATAATAGTATTCCATAATAGTAGGTAATGAAGCCTTTTCTGTCCAGGCACTGATATTCCACTCAACCTTGCGGAAATTCAGTGCCGTAAATATATAAAGAAAAGAATTCATGTTCTAGAGAAGTGTGGATTGAGAGTCCTCCATAAGAAGAGATCATAACCCATCCAGGGACAAGGAAAAGGCAGAGGTTATCTCCACCGGACTTGGCTAACCTCCCTTCCACCAGGTATTTCCATCACTACCATACAGCATTTGGAAATGTGCAAATATCAGTCCAGCAGTTGGGTGCCTGAGGCCATGCCCCCTCCTACACCACCAGACAAGTTCAGCAGGTCTGATTCCTGGTGACAGAGCTTCTTTGCTTACCTGCCTTTGAATCCCATCAGGTACATCCAGGATTGCAGCCACAGGTAACATGAGTCCTGGTGCCAGTCTGTCCTCCTGTAAGCCGTGGGCTTCTAGCTGCAGAGCAGAGTGATCCCCCATGAGGAAGACCTTGCAAGTGGACTGAGAAAGCTGTATCCCCTCTCTGCCTCTGGATTCGGGGCCACTTTTCCCCAGGGCATGTGGAGTTGCTGGAACCCCGTTACATGCCTGAACATTCATGGCTTTACTGTGGGCAATAGCTCTGGTATTTTTACTGAAATAACACCAGCCCCACTGATCTCAAGGGGCAGTAGCATAGCTAGAAGTGCTTCTGGGGGGCGTCCTTTAGAAACCACGAGAGCGATGCACTGCAAGGCTTGGCGGGAGCCAAGTTGCTCGGGAACAGCACACTTCTTGCCATGCTTTCATAACCACAACGTGTTGGCCCAGAGCTCGCTGTTGCAGCTGCAGGCATTGCTGGGAATAGGCAGTAGGGCTGCACAGAAGGAACGGTGGTGGGAAAGAGGCAGACAAGGGGACAGTATCAGAGCACGTCATGGGATGCACAACCTTACCTCATTAAAAGAGGGCACAGAGGGAAAGCTGGACTTGCGGGTGCAAAACCCAGCGAGGTACAACCTGGTCCATCACCCTGCTCCAGGACCAGCAGCCGCTGCACAGGCTGCCCTCACCGCAGCTCAGCCATGAACGTCGGCAGCAGTCCGTGCGTGGCAGACAGCTCAGGGAAACTCCTCTTGGCTGCTRTCTGCTTTCTATACGCAATCCGTCAAATACTCATGAGTAACAGGCACATCATGTTAAGGGAACCTACTCGGGCCACGGGCGACCAGAGGAGACAACTGGATACGCTTTCTAAATCGGTCATAGCCATTGGCCATGATTTTTCTCTGTACAATTAGCAGATGACTTAATTCTTTTCCTAATCTGAACTCTTTCCGACTTGTATCTGAGGAAGTTTGGTTTCCCAACTGCCTTTCTAAATTGGGATTGCGAACTTCAGGAGGTTGGTCAGCACTGAATTTCCACAGATATTCCTCTGTAATATTTCCCTAGAAAGATAAGTCTCATTCAGACTTTTCTCACCCATGGGGGACCAGGGATACTCGGGTGCTCTGCATACTCACTTTAAAACTGTGCAGTCCTCCTCCCTAAGCCCCAGGTAGTCCATCTGCACGGCAGAAAGTTAGTGATGGGTGGCTCCAGCTGTATCTGGAGCCTTTTCAAGCTGTGCTGCCTTTCAGCTGCACAGATGACAAACTTCTGATATAAATGCTTATGTCCTGCTCCAAAATATGGATGAATTAAATAGTATGATGCTTTGAACAGATTCAGAATATTTATTGAATGGCTTTGAAGGTGCAATAGCATAAGTGCATGTTTCTCCCTTTCTCCCATGTCTCCCCGCTGCTGGCCTCTCTGCTAGTTGCAATAGTTTTCCAGTTGGTAGAGGGAGCACGTGTTATGGCAGCATTGCTCAACAATTCCTCTCTTCACTTTCTCATATTCCTCCTGCTGGAATGGCAGTTCTTCTGCCTCGCCACGCAATGGCCCACTCACTGCCAGGAAAAAAAAAAAAAAAGAAAGAAAGAAAAAAAAAAGAAAAGATAAGCTGTGGGACTCCATGCAGCATCACCCCTGGCTACCCCTTTCAGACACCAACATTGGCCAGAGCCAGCTGGAAAACAGGAGGACCATTGCAAATATCTCCCCATGCAGCACCTCCAGGGTCTGCATCCATGGAAGTGCGAAGAAGGGTTCATCTGAGGGCTGGGTGCGTTTCCCAGGTGGTCCCGAACCGCCTGCTCCTGCTTGCTGCCTGCATGTAGCCTAGAGTCRAGCGCAGAAGCACTTGTGTGTGTTCGTGCTCACAGCTGGGGACAAGTTTTAAAAGGAATGTTAAACTGGGGTATTTGAACACACATAGTACTAAACAAAATGTGTCATTTGCTGATGGGAACTTGAAAACTTGTCAAGAAAACGTTTCAGGCTGCATGGATAAATTAAGAGGTCTTCAGTGACTTCAACACTAAAAGAAAGTGCACRGAAAGCGAGGATAAGATGAGGTTTCTAGGCCAGTATGAAAGTATAGCACAAGATGCAAAGTCCCAAAGTCCCCAAAGCATAATGTAATGAGCAAGACCCAAGAGTGACAAGAAATCATTGTGTTAGTGCACCGGGAGGAAAATTTAGAGAAGATTTATTCCAACATTTCACGGAAGATGATGTATCTAGTGGATATTTCACAATTTACTCATCTTTATCCTTCAGGTCTTCTGGGAGAAGACAGTAAGTACAACCAGCTCATGTGACAGAGAGGTATTAGCTCAGACTAAAATACTGGAAAAAGACCTAGAAAGTTTTTAGGCCTTTCAAACTGGTTGGCCCTAATGAAATTTTCCCTACAGTATTTAGAGAATTGGATAAAAAGACTTTTAACACATGTGATGATCTTCAGAAACATCAAAAACAATTCAAATAGACCATCTGGCCTTTCAGAAAAAAAAAATAGAGTAAATCTTCTCTGACATTATCTTGTTTCACCTTCCTAAGACCACTGAGACTCTTTCACAGGACAGTCACACACATATGCAGTACATATGCAGATATGAATGAAACCACTGCTCAGTGGGAGGAGGATGGGTGCGACATTGGTGTTGTAGTTAGAGGAGGTGGTAAAAGGGCTAATACTTGAGCTCAAGGGTTAAAATGAGCGGGACTTGGCAGGGGTCTCTCCTGCACCAGGTGCAGTTTAGAACCTCCATCAGTGACGCGGAGGATGGAGGAGAGAGTGTGCTTGCTGAATTTATAGAGGACATGAAGCTGAGAGGAACTGTGAGTACCCTTCTCCCAGGAGAGACATCATCCTAGCACTACAACGTGAGCTCTGCAGGTCCTGGCTGTGTCGAGATACACATGGGAAACACAGTGTTCAAAGGCAATGCTCCAAAACGCCTCAGCCCACCTACATTCGCATTTGGTGATAGAAGYGCCCAAACCTGGGACAGGGATCCAGCGCAGAGAGGGATCTCACCTCACATGCCCCTGCACATTCACTACCTGATGGTCACCAAGCCATGGAAATGCCACGATTCCAGTAGGTCCCTGTATGGCACAAAGCCCCAGACACCATTCCTAAGTGACAGCTCAGGAAGGGGATTAGCATCAGATACAGAGCACTGAAGTTGTGTTTTTTACTGCTGTGTTTCTTTTCTGCAAATCTGTTTCCAATTTGGAAATTTAACTGTTGATAGAAGACATTTGCTCACTACTTGCAGCTCCTCTGGAGTTCAAACTCAATCACAAGTGAAACTGAGAAGCACAGGACATGCCGTATCCCAGAAACAGAAAGTTCAGATAAAGCATTTAGGACAAGCTTGGGAATCTCCAGAGCTGTTTGGAAGCTGGTGTCCTTCAGAGTGGGACCAGGCAAAAAGGTCTGCCTTGGTGGCCCACAGTCTAGTCCATCTGGGGGCAGGGTAGGTGACAGACAGCAGAGATCTCTGTCTGCCAAAATTGCATTTTCATTGCTACCGATTAAAACAAGCAAACCTATTAAAAAAAAAAAAAAAAAAAAAAAGGAGTGAGGTGAGTTCAAATTGAAAATGATTTACGTGGATATAGGTCTAGAAAATATGACCTAAAAAGGCATATTGGAGAAGCTGAGGGTGGGAGATAGCTGAGAGCACTTTCAAGTTAGGCATGGTAAAGGTCTTGACATGTTTCGGAAAATTGCCATGAAGAATAACGCTGTAGACTTTTCCCCATGTCCACTGCAGGGAAAAAAAAAAAAAAAAGAATAATTTATGGCAGGGGCCATTGAGGCCGTTCAAGAGGAAGCATGGGAACAGACAGTCTCAGAAAGCAGGAAGATCTTCCTCACTGGAAGTTTTAAAGAGCCAGCTAGACGAGCATGGGTCAGGAAGGATACAGGGATCCTGCCCTGGGACAAAAGAAGRGCTTCTTGAGCTCTTCCCGCCCTTATTTTCCATGGGCACTTCCAGACTCAAGCCATGGCCACACCAGTCTGGGATGGGTGTTTGGCTGATTTTAGCCTCTGATTTTCAAGAGATAGGCAGACAAGCTTAACCTTTCAATGACAATTCCTTCTGCCCCATAAACCTCCTTCTCTACCTGTCCTCCCACCTGCTTTTCTAACCTGAAGATTTTTCATTGGCAATATGGTGTTTTTGATCAATTAATGCAACTCCTGCTATTCACCACTGAGGACATTACTGCTGTAACTGGTCCAAATGGTCCAAACATGGTCCAAAACAGTTGGACCTTTTAACCACATAGCATACAACGGTGGTCACCATCAGCATCTGRAGTCCTGGTTACCACCAGAGAGAAAGCTCATATTTCTACAATCAATCCTGACCCTTGTGCTGCACACACTCCTTCTCTCTGAACAGAAGAGCATCTGTACCATATCTGGGCCTCTTCCTCTCTCACAGACCAGTCTGGAGGGGAAAGCAGTTGTTACAACCATGCAATATCTTCACAAAGTGTCTACACATAGCATGGGAGTTCCTGCTTGAAGACAATTGTTCGAACAGCAGAACAGTTGTTCAAACGGCTGTCAAGGCACCTTGCCAAGTTCATGGGGAACCTTCACTTACCTAGAGGCTGCTCAATGTCYCGCCGGGCTTTGGGGGAGTAGAAGAAGCCTCTCTCTCCGCAGACCAGGTAGAGAGCCTCCACTAGGTGGGAGCCACAGAGGTGCTGGTTGGCAGCTGCGTGGCTGRTCCCAAGGCCAGAAAGAGCAAGGAGGGCCAGGAGAGGCAGGGATTGGATCCAGAGAGCCATGGTAACCCGCTGAGACCAGGGGTAAGATGGAGAGGAGAGACAGGGAGGCCTGTGAGGGAGAATTAAGTGGTTATCAGGCATCTTGTCCCCTTCAGCACCTTTGGCACAAGCCTGAGACCAAAGCAGCAGATTGACCCTCTGAAGGTTCTTGGGCTGGAGTAGGAAGGACATTTTTATGGACATGGCTTTGCACAAAACAGTAAACGACTGATAATTGTAGTCAACAGTCCACCCACATGCTCCTGCCAGTCCTTCCTGCCCTCCTTGCTCACTTCCTCCAAAAACTGAACCCCAGACGCCCACTTATGGGGCAACCAGCAGCCATGTGGCCACTCTGCCATCATCAGGTCCCATCATCAGCTTGGGGCTATGAGGAGGTGCTATCAGGGCGAGACTCTGTGAAAACTGTGGGATTAAATTCAGTCAGGATCTATGACTGCATGCAGAGGACCTCTCTTGAACTTAGTGCTAGAGACTGCAGCAGAAGCTCAAGTCTTAGATATATCATCACTGGCAAAAACTGCTCAGCTCTGAGGACGGGCTCCCAAAGAGGGCCCTGTGTGCTGGAAGACTCATTGCATTGAGCCTTCTGTTGCACCTGCCCAGGAGAGCAGAGATCAGCGGATGTCTTCAGGGGAAAAGCTCTCTGTGCCAGGTCAGAAGGGGCTGTTCTTTACGAGGGCCCCAAAACAATACAGCGTTCTCAAAGGCCTGAGAAGACCTAGTTTTCTTGGACAAGCAAACCAGCACTTGTCACTAGCAGTTACATTCACTTGAGCAAACAGCTTCACAAAACACAGGTAGAAGCTAAAAGGAGGTAATTGGACTTACCCGAAGAAGTATCAGTAAGTGATGGAGAGAAGTTTGCTCCTGGAGGTGAAGAGTGTCTCCCATCCTCTGTTTCCTGTATTTATAYGCTTTACATTAGCCCAAATTACACAAGACCTAGTCAGAAGCCCGCCTTTTCAGTGACGCCCTAGCCCAAATTTTTGCTGTTTGGGCACATTAAGTTCTCACTACATAGGATCAACAAGTCTTTAGGCAAGTTAAGAGAGAAGCAACTGTTTGCAGTTTCCATCTCATTTCATCTTACCTGTTTTTGCTTCTCCTGCAGCTCATCCTGAGCCATCAGCGACCCTTTTAACAGGAGGTAATGGTGCTATTAAAGTTGTAATGATTACACTAATGCTGGCAATAGGTACTGCTGGCATTGAGGTGGCCGACAGTCCATCCATCTCAACAGCTGTTTCTGAAGTACAAAATTAAAGGCAAACATGTTAATATGTTTAATTAATATCACCTCAGCAARTATGCTGCAATGGGACCAAGTTGTCAATGAGACCACGCCACTGCCAGGTGTTAGAGGAAGGAAAACACGTTATTGCAGTGAAGGCCACCTGAAGCCCCACTCACAGCCCACGCAATACAGAGCTGGAGACATGCACTCAGAGCCTGGGCTGCGGGAGGAACAACATCTGCATTTTGCAGGAAAAGGTGTGTGATGGTTTTAGCCCTGTGCAGGGCCAAAACTTGAAATTTTTAATTTTTTAACTTTGGCACATTTTGGACACCAAGAAACCTTTCCAGTAGATTCTAGTGCTTCACACAACTGGCAGTCTCCCATGATGAAGAAAGAGTCCTCAGAAATGTTTTCAGCTAGGGTTGTCATATTAATTTGTTCAGCTGATCATGTTCACGGCTTTTAGACAAAGTCTGCAGCAAATCTGAGCTTGTAGGTGATCTGATGGGCTTTGCTAGTTAAGAACCCTTCCTGTTTCTCCTCAATAGATGTGTACCCTGGGGGAAAATTTGGACACTTCTTTTAACTCCTCATCTTCTCCACCAGTTCAGGAGAAACATCATTTCACAAATACCATTTTGTTGCTGGTAGTGTTTAGAGCAACCACCATGTTCACTGTGAGCTGTTGCTGTGTGCTCATGAGATTAAAACACATCATCATTTTGCACTCATCATTATGAAGAGGAGCTCAGAAAAATGACTTAAATATAAACTAGTATAGCAAAGCCAAGCAAAGATGTCCATCAGAGTGAGGACATTTGCCCGTTACGGCTTCTGTTCTGATGAACATCACTCCAGAGTTCCCATGGATGGGAAGGGACCACTCTGCTGGCTAAAGGGTGGCTAAAAAGAAGAAGAAAAAGCAAGTATTACTATTTTTTTTCTACCTGAGTTTGCAGAGAGCCTGAAAAAGCTACCGTAAGATTTGTGATTCTGTATTATTTCAGTGTGTACCAACTTAGGTGCCAGCAAAAGCTTGCCCTGATGCCTCTATTTCACTGCTCATTAAATCACACAGGGGAAGTTTCAACCCACATAGACCTGCTCTGCCATGGCTTACACAGCCGTCATCCTGAAGTGGGATCCAAGGGCGGAAACTGCTTCTGAAGGCCCGAGGGGGAGTCCACCAAGTTTCATGACCCTGACACTGGTACCCGTTTTTGAAAGTAATGCGAATTACTCCTGTGAAACCTGCAGCCACTTCAGCTTTCTGCTCTCACTTTCACAACTCTACCCCATTTCCCGGACGGCTCTGTGCTATCTCGACCTACTTTCTTCTTTGCTGCTAGTAACATGCTTGTGCCCTTTCTGACTAAAACATGCTTTTCTTCCTTCTTTCTGAAAAGGCTTTCRGTCAGTGAAAGTCACTTTAAATGTCAGGGATTAGTTGCTCTTCAGACTTCCCATTACACTGAATTTTTAGGTTGCAAGTGCTGAAAAGGAGATATTTTGATCTTCCTGAACTCTTGCTTGCTGAATTCAGAATAAGTCTGATTCTCCATATATAAACATGTAAATCGTAAGGAAGTTCACTGATATCAGCAGAATGCTGGAAGAACCAGACCAGACTCTCAATTTCTTAAGCAGCTTCAGTAATTCCTCCCAAATACTTCCATCAGCATCTAGGCTGTAGCGAGTCCCATCTGCCTCTGTCATGGCAGTATCATGTGTTTGCTAAATGTCTGTGATTGCAAAAAGGCTGGGGAAAAGCACTAAAGCTCTGATGAGTGTGCAGGGAGGTGACTTATTTGCTCAAATGGATGTGAGACAAGGTTATCGACTATGTCCCCTGCTACGTYGGGCTCCCGTCCGCATGCGAATAAATCCAAGTTGTGATGTTCAACCAAAGTTAATAGCATCTCTGCACAGTGTGTAACACTATCGCTGCCTCCCTGCCCCTCAAAAAAATATTTGATGTACTTGAATGACCTAGTGGTATACCCATGAAGAGGGGCTCAGGTTTCAGGGAGATATGAGCGCAGGGAATTCACTTACTCAGACCTTCTTTCTGCCATGAGAAGATGGAGAGTTATTAACTCCACTGGATAAAACCTGACATTTCACTCTTTGTAAAGTAGATTTTCGGTGCTAGGAATAGTTCCTGAGATTTGTGTCACCCACAGATCTTGCCAGAGGAGGGGCTGTACTCTTTGTATCTTTGGCCTCATCACTGGTGGCAGCTTTCAGGCACCACAGAAGTGGCAGGAGATTGGGGAGAAAAGGAGGAGTGTGAACTCTGCCCTCCAGAAGAGACCGTGATCTCTCATTTCCAGCCCCGCATCCTCCCATCCATCATCATGGCCATGGAGTTGGGGAGGAGCCTTTGGGATCCCCAGTGCCTTGGAGGCAGCAGCGCACTCCGGTTGTTCATCCCTGCTCAGCCTTGCAACCACAGGAATGGGTCAGAGCAATGCGCTGGAAGATTTATTGAAAGGAAAAAAGATATCATACTGGCTCAAAGGCCAACACAAGCCAATTTTTTTGTAAAAGTTTCCTATAATGACTTTTTTTTCCCCTTCCAAAATATGATAACTTTGATTATTTATTGGAAAACGTATTTTCTTACCATAAATGGACCTTTGGAATATGAAAAATGTTAGCAGCGATTTAGAAAAATAGGCAAGCTAAAAAGGTTAACCAAAACATGGGTATAAACTGTGGAAAGTTTTGTCTTAGACGGAAAACTCCCGTGTCAGCAGCAAACTGAGAAAGGGGAGCAGACAGGGGAGCCCGTTTTTTGAAGAGAAAAGCTTTTTTAACAGGAAATCCCAGCTCTCTCCTTCCAGGTTGGGCTTCCCTGTGATTTTCTCTTGATAGGGAAGAGCTCGCCAAGCTCTCATTCATCATTTTTGCTCTCGTGGCCTCCCGCGACCAGCCCACTCAGCCCCCGCCGCTTCGGATCACCCAGATGAAAGGACTCGCTGGGTGGGAGCGGGCTACTCCTGACTTCTGCCCTTGGTGCTAAATCACCTCCAGACGTGACTTGAAACCACCTCCCTCGCCCCTGTCACCCCCCGACCCCGAGCGGTTGCATCAGTGGGGAGGTTTAGGCAATCCCCGGTGTCATGTAATCAAGTTTTACAGTCCGCTGCCAGCACAATAAAATCTTTACTACTGTAGATGTCTAGCATTTTCAAACCCTGTCCTGAAAAATCGCAAGCCCATTATGGGGGAACTAGTTAACGATTACAAGTTTGTGCAAGTTTTCCTGAAAGCAAAGGTCAGCTCTTGGGGCGAGCAAGTTCTCAGCAAGCACCTGGGGACCCAGAAACATGAGCGCTGTCTCCGGAGCAGCCACCGTGTTGAGCGGCCACCACTGGGGCTGCATGGCCTTGTCCCCGGGCTGTGGGTGGCCCGGTTGAGCAGACCCATRGGACCATCTCCAGCTGTTTGGCAGTGGTGTGCCCAGGTAAGGACCTGCCAAAGGCACTGCAGCAGTACTTGAAGCTCTTTCTCCACCTAATGGAGGCATGACCTTGGCAGGTCTCTGGAGACCAGCGATTGCGGACGTGTTGGGTTGTAGCTGCACGTTGCACCAGAAGCAGAGCAGAGATCAATGCCATGGTGATGCTGTGTGCTCCTTTTCGAGAGCAAGTTCTGAGGCTTGTGAAACAAGTTACCCCAAGGCAACACCAGCTGCCAACATATCCTTGCACCCAGCCATCAGGCCTGCCAAAAATGCAGCCCCAGGGCATTGGAA